AAATGTCCCGCAATGCCAACAATCAGTGCGGTATCGCCAGTGCCGCCACTTATCCAACGGGTGTGTCCGGTGTCTGAATTGTATTTAATACCAATAGTTTAATAAAATTATTTTATTATATAATCTATTATGGCATTAGGGTTATTTTGCATACATCAGTAAAATACAATTTATTATTCATGACAATAAATTTAGTAAATTTAATAAATATCGCAATTAAATGCTAAATCATTAATCTTTAACTAACAAGCTAATTATTTGGTAACCCCTGTGGGGTAGAGCGCATACGTGGCTACACCGCATTGATTGCCATTGTTTCTGGCAATTTTAATGTACCCCTGGTCTCCATATGTCGTTCCCCACGAGTTCTTCAATAGCCAGTAGTCGTGTCCGCTCTCAGGTCCATAGCCCACGACTACAACCGCGTGCTGTAAGTCCTTAAACCCATTCTTACACTTTGTGTCCGTATATACACCCGACTTATATGACTTGAACCCATTCTAAGAGGCGTCTATACCGATAGCTACCGGGCCTACAGTGGCGACGGCCTCCTGGAGGGCCAGTTCGTCGCCGGATGTGATGTTGACGTACCCCTGAATAGAGGCGGCCCTGTATTCCGGGCGATAACTGCAGTTATAAGCGTTGGCCAAATAGGGGGAAGTGGTCTCAGACTCGACGCCACCGTATTGTATGATCACTTCATATGCATTGTGCATATATCCACCAGTAAAACAATTTAGAAAATGAAATTTACCAGGGTATACACAGTCAGCTACGTTTTGTACAGATAGTTCAATCAAATGACTGGTGTTAATAGCGAGCTAACCTAGGTGAGTAAATAAAATAGGATTTATTATGTGGTGAATAATTACTGAGCATTAGAAACAAAGTTTTACAAAATGAACATGGTAATAATAAATACAAATGTTCTACAATTATAATTATATAGCAAAACATACTCTCAATGGTGTCAATAGATGTGAATATATAGCAGTATTCGCACTATTAATGAAAATAAAAAATTATTAATTTATATAAAATTCGTGTTTTTCTCAAAGACTCACATCTTTCTGGTCCTTAACACGGCTGACGAC